TTGATTACTTGTTGTTGCTTATGTAGCCTAATGTGTTGTTTGTGTGTGTTCCTGTTGTGTTGCTTGCAAGTCATTGTTTGAGCTTGTGTTGTATTTGCGACAGGTCGTATGAGATTGTTTAGTTGAAGACAGGTCTTTGTGTCTGTTGCGTTGGCGACAGGTCGTTGTTTGAGTCTGTTGCGTTGGCGACAGGTCGTTGTTTGAGCCTGTTGCGTTGATGACAGGTCGTTGTTTGAGCCTGTTGCGTTGGATAACGACAGGTCGTTCTTTGAGCCTGTTGCGTTGATAACAGGTCGTTCTTTGAGCCTGTTGCGTTGAGGACAGGTCATTGCACAAAAAAAAATCGTGTTCACTGAGATAATCAGCAGGAGCCTGAAAGAGGATTCGAATCTGCACACTGGCTACTCCCAAGCTCACACCTTCAACCGCTGGACCACGATCTGCTTCAGAAGTAATACTACCTGGGAGTCAACTGAATTCTCTAAGGGGTTTCTGAGGCTTCCGGCTGATACTAATTCAGGGTTTCACACAATATCCGCGCACATTCTGATAAGGTATAGGAGTCCAATCCCCCAATGACCTCGTCAAATGAATGATTCAGGAAGCCACAAAGGATTTGAGGGGAATCCCAGGAAGGATTTGAGGGGAATCCCAGGGGTACACTGCCTTTGGAGCACGTCGTGGTCTACCCGGCAAGGGCTTCATGTGCACGTTCAAATCCTCCTTGTGGATCCTATTGATTTCTGACGGGTCGTTGTTCGAGCTTGTGTGGAGTTGATGGCATTAAGTCACTGCTTAAGTTTGTCATCATAACATCAATCGATTCTCATTAAATATATTTTCTTCTACTAATCTTATAAAGATACCGAAATACAGATTAGAAAACTTTGATTAGATTCATTTTAATATTAGTAATGCAAATTGTACCAAACTTTGAACCCAAACACGCGAGCGTAAATGTCAAAGAAAAAATAAAAGTTTATCTATGTCGAAATGTACGATATCAATAGAAAAATAAAAAATGAATAATGGAAAAAAAATTACGGTCAGCTTTGATGTCTAAACTGTTATCAGGACTAAAATGGCATAAAAGTTTGCAATTTATGTACTCAATTCAATCAGCTTGGTCACCTGTACTCAACTCATTAATCAGCTTGTTCACCTGTACTCAACTCATCAATCAGCTTGTTCACCTGTACTCAACTCAACAATCAATTTGTTCACCTGTACTCAACTCAACCATCAGCTTGTTCACCTGTACTCATCAATCAGCTTGTTCACCTGTACTCAACTCAACCATCAGCTTGTTCACCTGTACTCAACTCAACAATCAATTTGTTCACCTGTACTCAACTCAACCATCAGCTTGTTCACCTGTACTCATCAATCAGTTTGTTCACCTGTACTCAATCACTCATCAATCAGCTTGTTCACCTGTACTCAACTCAACAATCAATTCAATGTTCACCTGTACTCAACTCAACCATCAGCTTGTTCACCTGTACTCATCAATCAGCTTGTTCACCTGTACTCAACTCAACAATCAACTTGTTCACCTGTACTCAACTCATCAATCAGCTTGTTCAACTGTACTCATCAATCAACTTGTTCACCTGTACTCATCAATCAGCTTGTTCACCTGTACTCATCAATCAACTTGTTCACCTGTACTCATCAATCAGCTTGTTCACCTGTACTCATCAATCAACTTGTTCACCTGTACTCAACCATCAACTTGTTCACCTGTACTCAACCATCAACTTGTTCACCTGTACTCAACACAACAATCAACTTGGTCACAATTGCAATTGAGTTTCTTTGTTAAAGTTCACGATAACTATCATTGATCTACAGTCAGTAATGTCGCCGTTCCCAAGGCTCGTTACGCTGGCTATTAATTAACGTCGGCACGAATGGCTGGTTAACTACTCGCCAAGGCAATTTAACCTCCAGCGGCACTGAGCAAAATAGTCACAAACTGACAATTAAAATTTGCTGTCCACGCCATCTGTTGTCCTTTGATGAATAGTTATGCAAAATAGTTCATATGATTAATCAGTCTATGAAATCGAATTATTAACTAAAAAAAATGAGTTCGTTGAAATGTTTCGTTTTCAACAGTTCTTCATATGATTATAACGTCCCAATTTACAACGTAAACGCAACGTTATTTAACTACGTTGTTGCAACGTTGCATCAATTAACAATTACAAAATTGTGATGTTGTTATGTTGTGAGTTTGATGTATAGTTTGTTCTGAGAGAGAGGGAGAGAGACACAGAGAGAGAGAGAGAGAGAGAGAGAGAGAGAGAGAGAGAGAGAGAGAGAGAGAGAGAGAGAGAGAGAGAGAGAGAGAGAGAGAGAGAGAGAGAGAGAGAGAGAGAGAGAGAGAATGTTTGTTGAAAGGGTGAAGAAAGGTGGGAAGGGTGGAAATAGGGGAAAGGGGTGAACGAGACCCGAGCACTGCCGGGTACCTCAGATCTAGTGTTATATAATTTATGCTTGCACCACTGCTAATATTAATATTTTCAGCAATGTATTTTATAGTACCATTAAAAGTGCTGTTATTTCTACAATTACTAATAATAATAATATTACAATAACACTGAATAATACTGAATATGATATTAAAAATATATTTTCCTCAGAGATCTTTTCTTCAATATTCCAAAGAAGTGAAAATAGTTCCTCCATATTCACTTCTCACCCTTCATGTCTCCTTCCTCTTCTTCTCCTCTACCTGGTGTTGTCTTCCATCACCTCTGTGGTCTGTTTCTCCTCTCCTTCTCCCTCACGCTACTCCCTCTATTCTCCCCCCCCCTCTCACTATCATCTTCCCTCTGGCATAGTCAACCCATCTTGGGCTCCGATATCACAGATCATAACACGAACTGTTGACAATCCCAACTCTGGCCTCATATCTGAGCGTTTCAGTAACTCCATGAACACACACACACACCACACACACACACAGATATGATAGAGCCCAATAGGCTCAGGAACCTGTACACCTGTTGATTGACGGTTGAGAGGCGGGACCAAAGAGCCAGAGCTCAACCCCCACAAGCACAACTAGGTGAGTACACACACACACACACACACACACACACACACACACACACACACACACACACACACACACACACACACACACACACACACACACACACACACACACACACACTACCACACGTCAAACAGGAAAGAGAGATGAGTGGCTTGCCTGTGTATTACCAGCCTGCCACAAGGCCTTTGATAGTGACCCAAACTCTAGGGATGAGCTGGAGTACCTGGAAGAATATTTAAATAGGTAATGGAGCACAAAATGGGGAAGGAGGAGATATGAAAGGGGAGAGAGATGATGGGAAGGGATCCATCAGAAAGGAAGAGAGGGACCAGTGGAGTACCGCAATGTTCAGTACTAGGACCCATCCTGTTCCTTGTTTATGTCAAGGAACAGGAATATGCATCACCGGTATGGAATCTGCACCTAGTGAGGCATAAACCCAAAACTGAAACAAGTACAAAGGTTTGCAACAAGATTCGTGAGAGAATTAAGCTACAAACATAGGCTAATGGCACTAAATCTTACAACCCAAGGGTATAGAAGGAACAGGGAATATGACCACAGCATACAAGATTACGAGGAGAATAGATAAGGTGGACAAGGATAGCATCTTCAGCCAGAGAGAAAGCAGGATAAGAGGACACAGGTGGAAGCTGGAAACTCAAATGAGCCGAAGGGACATAAGGAGTTTTTTTTATCCTACCACAGACGTGGCCAGACATTTACAATGCTAACCAGCATATATACATTTTCTTCTGTCCTCCGTGGGCTGGGTTAGAGATCTGTTAAACATATATTCACTGATTTATTGAACAATCAACCACAAAAGGTGATTGTAGTGCTTTAAAATGCTAACCTAACTTACATATATAAATACACCGATTTACGTCTGTCCCACATAAACAGTGCTCAAGGTACGTGTTACACATAAGGTACTGTAATTAATAAAACGAAAGGAAGTACTCGTAGCCTTTACAGGCAGTTAACAAGTAGAATGCTTTACAAGAGGAACTTGAACAAGCCATCTCCAACCACAAATTTAAGGCCCGATTCGACAAAGAATTTCAAAATAAGAATAGTCAAGTTGAAACGCAGCAGCTATAACAAGGCCAGTAGACGAACTAGTAGGTACAACAAGGCCAGTAGACGAACTAGTAGGTACAACAAGGCCAGTAGACGAACTAGTAGGTACAACAAGGCCAGTAGACGAACTAGTAGGTACAACAAGGCCAGTAGACGAACTAGTAGGTATAACAAGTCCAGTAGACGAACTAGTAGGGACAACAAGTCCAGTAGACGAACTAGTAGGTACAACAAGGCCAGTAGACGAACTAGTAGGTATAACAAGTCCAGTAGACGAACTAGTAGGGACAACAAGTCCAGTAGACGAACTAGTAGGTATAACAAGTCCAGTAGACGAACTAGTAGGGACAACAAGTCCAGTAGACGAACTAGTAGGTACAACAAGTCCAGCAGACGAACTAGTAGGTACAACAAGGCCAGTAGACGAACTAGTAGGTACAACAAGGCCAGTAGACGAACTAGTAGGTACAACAAGGCCAGTAGACGAACTAGTAGGTACAACAAGGCCAGCAGACGAACTAGTAGGTACAACAAGTCCAGCAGACGAACTAGTAGGTACAACAAGGCCAGTAGACGAACTAGTAGGTACAACAAGGCCAGTAGACGAACTAGTAGGTACAACAAGGCCAGCAGACGAACTAGTAGGTACAACAAGTCCAGCAGACGAACTAGTAGGTACAACAAGGCCAGTAGACGAACTAGTAGGTACAACAAGGCCAGTAGACGAACTAGTAGGTACAACAAGGCCAGTAGACGAACTAGTAGGTACAACAATAAAGAGCTGTACCTCACTCCCTAGTAGACACTCAATAGGTAAGGTACACTGCCTATCTTCCTCTGGTGCCATATCGCGTGTCTCTTCATTTTCCGACCCGATGATAACTGGAGAACGAAGTCATTTACCCCCTGTGTCTGACATGACAAGCTGGCACCCCCTCCCCCTTCCCCCCACAACAGTCTCTCGTGTACGCCTCTGTAAACACAAGAGCCGTACCTCAGTCCTGTACAAGTACAACTAAGTACGAGATTTCTATTACATCTGCGTTTTTTTTTCTTATGGTATCAATTTTTATTTCACATTTTTTTGTTTATAAGATCCATAATTTTTTTTTTTACAAGTTCTACATAGCATTGTGAATATTTTTAATTTTGGATTTTGTTGTGTTTTAGGGTGATAATTTAAACAATGTAACCGGTGTTCATCGCTTGATCAGTTATGTCATGGAATGATTGATGTGGCCACACGCTGGATAGGTGGCCGAAGATAGGTCAGCCAGGGTAGACGGTCAGCCAGGGTAGACAGTCAGCCAAGGTAGATAGGTCAACCAGGGTAGATGGTCAGCCAGGGTAGACGGTCAGCCTGGGTAGACGGTCAGCCAGGGTAGATGGTCAGCCAAGGTAGACGGTCAGCCTGGGTAGATGGTCAGCCAAGGTAGACGGTCAGCCCCAAGGTAGACGGTCAGCCAGGGTAGATGGTCAGCCAAGGTAGACGGTCAGCCCCAAGGTAGACGGTCAGCCCGGGTAGACGGTCAGCCCGGGTAGATGGTCAGCCAAGGTAGACGGTCAGCCCCAAGGTAGACGGTCAGCCCGGGTAGACGGTCAGCCAGGGTAGATGGTCAGCCAAGGTAGACGGTCAGCCTGGGTAGACGGTCAGCCAGGGTAGATGGTCAGCCAAGGTAGACGGTCAGCCCCAAGGTAGACGGTCAGCCAGGGTAGATGGTCAGCCAAGGTAGACGGTCAGCCCAAGGTAGACGGTCAGCCCGGGTAGACGGTCAGCCAGGGTAGATGGTCAGCCAAGGTAGACGGTCAGCCCCAAGGTAGACGGTCAGCCCCAAGGTAGACGGTCAGCCAGGGTAGACCACAGGGTCATATCATATACGTATATGATACAGGCGTCAGTAGCTATAGCTAGTCTCTGCCACCTATACATACATACATACCATTGTTTGAGCTTCAATTCACAATTCTGTTACTAACAGTTTAGTATGGCAATAGGCTCTCCAATTGCTGCTATACCATTTTTGACCCAAATTCAGGGATTTTCTTGAAGCAGGATTGCTCCCCCAAAATCATTTGTTAAATGGCTTTGTTATGTTGAAGATGTCTTTAATTTACCTGAGGGCTACCATCTCTAGTGGCCTCGACATGGTCAAAAATACTCCATTTATTCTTGAGGATTTTTCCAGTTTCATTTTGATCTGTAATGTTTTAGTGGTTGCATCTTCGGTATAACCACTAAACCACTAAATGGTTACAAGTCAATGGTTTAACCACTAACTGGTTAAGTCAATGGTTAAAAGGCAATGGTTCTAAGTTTTTATTACCTTCTTGTGTGAGTTAGAAGTGAAGGTTTTAAAGAAATTGTCGGGATTAACGTCTATCAATTTGTTAAGTGTTTTAAAGATCTCGGTGAGATCAGCCCTGTCGTGTCTGGTTTGTGGCGTTGTTAGTGGTATGTCCTTCAACAGTTCCTGGTATGAGAGATGACTCTGGGATGCCTTTTGCTGCTGAGCTGAATCTTTTCCAAAGTAGTTATGTCATTTTTAGAGTTAAGTCTCACGCTTGGATACAATAATTCAGACGCAGGCGCATCAGGAAGTTGTACCGCTGTCTACCCATATTCTTTTCCTTTAAGTCAAAAGTTCATTTGATTCTTCCTAAAGTTCGCTTTTTTCACAGTAACAACTTGCCGCGTCAATAACCGGTGGATCATATAAAAATCCTCTATTTTTGCAACCTGCTGCAGGTCAACGGTGTTTAATATACAACATTCTTCATTACGAATTGTTACATGTAACGAGGTGTCTCCTGACCATCACCAGATACACTGACAAGGAGAGACGATAACTCAAGTTTAACGTCTTCAGGATATCAACCTGTGAAAATAGCCTCGTCTCATGTTGCTATCGCCACAAGAATGAAGTGAAAATGGCACAATAATTGGATTATTTCCCAGATCCTTGAGGATGTGCAGTTTCTTGAAAAAAGTGTCGTACATCACCTACTTCCTAAAGCTGAAATACTTGCCATATTTCATCTGGAAAAACAGGAAACGAACAAGGTGGAAGTTTGGAAATATCACAAAGATGGGAGGAGAACAAGGGCTCCGTGTCCACACAGGACAAACACAAACATCTCCGACATTGCAACAGAGATAATAATGGAGTTGTGTATAAAACACCAACCACTTGGGCTGGACGGTAGAGCGACTTGATGAGAAATCAAGGCGTTCAATCCCCGACCGTCCACAAGTGGTTGGGCACCATTCCTTACCCCCCGTCCCATCCCACATCCTTATCCTGACCCATTCCCAGATGCTATATAGTCGCAATGGCTTGGCGTTTCCTCTGCTATTATTTTTTGTGTATAAAACACACACAATAGTCACTCGGTATATTCTTCACAGGCAGAAATAACAGCAGTGAGATTATAGCGGAGGATTATACAATGCCTTGCAGCAGTTGTGGCCAAGTATACATAACAGAAATAACAGTTTACAATGGAAGAATTACAAAGTATACATAAAACGAATATCCAGAAACTTAGAGAAACGAGTGTAACGATAATGTCTCTCCAGCCTCCAAGACTCCAGACGCTATCGTCGGTAGACATCAGTCATCCTCCCCGCTGGCCGAGGTTCAAGCCCTTGTGAGACGATTGAGTAACCCGTTGTACAAATGTAGATTGACTACCATCCAAGCGTAACACATAACCAGTCCTCACAGCGAGCATCGACAGCTGAGGTGAACTGACATTCTTTCCCACTCTTGTGGGAAAGAATGCGAGGTGCGATGAGGTGCAAGATGCGAAGTGCATCAATGTAAGCCTCCACCTTCTCAAACCTCCGTGCCGCCATACTCAAGATGTAACACAATGCAAGCCTTAAAAAGGTAATACACGAAACGCTATGCGTGCTAGTGGCTTTACAAGAATGTAAAAACTCATGTATATATTCTGAATTTCATCTTTAAAAAAAAAATATTGATGACCATGAAAGATGGCTAGTGGAATCCATAGACTTTAATTCTATTATATTTAATTATTAGGGAAGGGGTACCACCTCTGGTGCAAGTGTAGGGACCCATAGCCTCGGAGAAGAAAATAAAGGGTACTCGGAGAAAACCTTGTGGATCCTCACTGAACACTTTGATATTTTCTTCTCCTACCACCCCTATTCTTTTGTTATGTGTGTATATTTATCTAATTATAATTAATTATAACTATTTATGCTTTCATTATATAATTTACTACATAATTCGTTATATAATTCATTATATATTTCATTATATAATTCATTATATAATTCATTGCATAATTCATTATATATTTCATTGTTTAATTCGTTATATATTTCATTGTATAATTCGTCATAATAAATTATAATTATATTTCCTGCCCGAAACGCTGCGCGTACTAGTGGCTTTACAAGATTGTAATTACCATATTATGTAGCCTCACAATCTCAATGTACCTTCTTGTATATGCATAAATAAATAAAATAAATAAATAAATAAATAAATAAATAATTCATTACAGTTTCACCCTCATCTTAACCATATTGGTTTACAGAACTATTTTTAAAATATGAATTTGCTCATTGAATATACACGTTTGATCGATTAACTCTGCATCATCTGAGTCAATATATTCTCATCAAGTCATGTTTGCTAAGTGTAAATAATTCCTGGTTCGTCCTCCGCCTTCTTGGTCTTCAGGAGTTTTGTTTGGCATATGAATTTTCCTTTTATTTAATTAATTAGGAGTCACAGGGAGCGCCTTAATCCAAGCCTCATTATTATTGTAACTAAATTATTATTTACTAATTCAGTGTCATAGGCTACTCTAGTATTTGGGTTGTTTTGATTTGGTTTAGTTGTATGATGGCGTTTTAAGTTATTTTCACAATAACATAAAAATGTTATTTTAACATTATAAAAGAAAAATAATAATGATGATAATAATAAGAATGAAAATAAGAAAGCGTGTAGAATCACGGCTGGTAACAGTGATGTAGCAAACCATAATTGGGGAAAAGGATCACAATATTGATTGAAAGAAATGGGAAATAATCTATAGAAGTAATAATGTTAAAACTAGAAGGGTAGTGGAAGCGGGTTCTAATACTCTCAATACTTTCGCTGGTAACAAGAACTTTACTTCGGATTGCTAAATTGGTAAAAACTTTACTAAAGGATTGCTTTACTAGGAAAATGATTTCCAGTGAATTAAAATTAGATCTCAATAAATGGATGAAAGCAGTGCCATTAGCCGCGTTCCTTGTGGTGTATGGAGAGGATTACGAGTGATAACATCCAGTTGTTATTGTTTTAGATTTAGCTACTCAGAACGAAGTGTCCATGTAGCACGGGCTATGGTGATCCCGTAGGGTAACATCCAGATGAACACCTCTATTAATAACAACTCCAGTTCCCAGGACAGCAGCGTTACGAGAGGTCACGTGACCATATTACCGTAGAAGACATTACCGCGGGGACATTGCCACCCCCATACAGCCCCGCTCCTGGGCCAGAGAAGTCCACTACGGGCTCACCATAGCCCGTGCTACTTCGAACTTTTTGTTCCTAGTAGCGAATCTTAAACAACATATACATTGCCAGGCCGGAATAGTGGTGACCTGGTCAGGAGGTCACAGAGGACTGGACCCCAGGATAACAGCCTTACGGGCTCACCATAGCCCGTGCTACATGAACATTTCGTTCTGAGTAGCTAAATGTAAAACAAAGGATAACAGCCTCATTGTTACGTTGAGATATGAGTTTCGTCCTCATCACACACTCAGACCTTGACAAAGCACTCAGGAGAGTGCGAAAGTCTTGGTGCAAATTC